CGTAATATATGTAAATGATATGCATACCTCTTCCAAATCAACATCGTCGGCGAGTTTCATATTTTTTGTGTGGATTCTCAAAATTTCCAACCGACCAGTAGCATCTGGTATACCAATGTCAATTTCTCTGTCGAAACGTCCAAATCGGCGCAATGCACCATCGATGCTGTTCGGTCGATTAGTAGCTGCCATCACAATCACATGGGAGCTTTGCTTCATACCATCCATTAACGTTAATAGTTGTGACACTATACGTCTCTCAACTTCACCGTGTGTCTATAAATATAGAAAAAATATAATTTCCATTTCAACGTGCGATTTAAGAAAAATATTTAGTTTGACTTGACAAACTTTTTCACGTTTCGGCGCGATAGCATCCAATTCATCGATGAATATAATTGCCGGAGAATTTTTCTCAGCTTCCTCAAACGCCTTCCGCAAATTACTTTCAGATTCACCAGCCAACTTACTCATAATTTCAGGGCCTATAAAAGAAAGGAGCAAACTTTTAAGTCATATTTTTTCTATTTAATCAAAGATCAAGATTAGGTTCTAGTAGTAAAATTCATAAAAAATTATGAAAAGCCAAATCTAGTTAGTGCACATAATTAAGAATCAATCAAAAAGTTATAAAATATTTGTTTTGGTTCTCGTTTGAATCTTCTTCAATGTGTGTATGATAAAATTAGAAAATTAAAAACTAAACTGTGAAAATCTTGATACATCTTTTCAATATATTATTTGGCATAATTATTTAGTCTATTATCTTGTAATGAAATTTATACCATTAATAAGAAAGAAAAATGCTCCAGTTTCATTCGCTACAGCACGAGCAATAAGAGTCTTTCCTGTTCCCGGTGGTCCGTACAACAATATACCACGTGGTGGTTTAACACCAATAGCTTTGAATAAAGATGGATGTCGCAGAGGTAATTCTACCATTTCCTTAATTTGTGCCAGCTGTTTACGAACGCCACCAATATCATCATAACCAACAGCATTCAATGCTTCCTCCTCTTCCTGCAAAGAAAAATACTGTTTATTTTCTGCATCCACATTGAGAGAAAATATTATAAAATATAGTATATTTCTCTGACCTCTCGTTTAATAGGATCGCCTTCACAATGTATTACTGTGTCAGGTGCCACAATGCAAAAAGGTCCTGGATCAGTTTCCACCACTTTGAATTCCACAGCACGCATTCCTCCTCGCACAATGAAATTGTCATCTTTATGAATAGGACGGTATGCCTCTAAGAAGTATGGCTTTAAATATACTTCAAATAGATTTCTGTAAAAAGTGCATAATATTTTATATATTTTATACTTGAAAATTCTTGTATTTGAAAAAAAAAAAAAAAAAAAAAAACTATTATACAATTAAAAATATAAAAAAATTTTGTTTTATAATAAAAGTTAATTATTATTTTCTAATAATTAGATATTTTAAGTTATCTCATTTTAGAATTTATTAATCAAATCTCATAAAATAGATATAATTATAAGATAATTAAATTTTGTTAAATTTACCCAGTTAGACCATCGACAGTATCATCCATTGGCAATACATGAATACGCTTCCCATACTTGACCTCTGGACATGCTTGTACGGAAACAACATCGCTCAGACGTACACGCAAGTTATTTCTGACAACTCGGTTCATACGAATTTTCTCATCTGGGCAAGTATCATCAGAAAGGACAATACATACTGTTTCTTTACGCCTCTTGCCCTTCAGTAAAACAGTATCTCCACGAAACAGTTGCAGCTCATCCATTTTTGCTTGAGAAAGGGCCACCACAGAATTATCATCTGCGATAGCTTCATCAACCAACAGTCTATTTGGCCTATCCTTCTTACGAAGGATAGCAGTCGCCAAATCTTCACCACTACAATTAATAAAACAATAAGAAAATTAATTATATATCAAATATAGATTTTAATGTAATTAATGTATATTCAATATATTGTTATAGTTTATACAATATTCCTTTGTACATATAAATATATGTATGTAAAATACTCTACATCTTATGGATAAAATATATTATAATTATAATTATGCACAGTATACTTTTAAATAAAAGATAAAATTGTTTTATTAAATTTGTCAATTTTGAAGAAAACTAAAGATTATTCTGCCAGAAAGAAATTCGCCTTTAAATTTTTTTATTAATCTAAAATCTTGTTCCTTAATTAGTTATAGATATAGTGATAAAAAAAATTTTTTAAAAGTAATATAATAAAATAATATTAAATGTACAATACATCTATCGATATTTTTATATTACATTTTATAACAAATATATATGAAATATATAGTATGTGTATGTATGTGTGCCATACTTATTTCTATATAGTAGATATCTATTAGTAGCTTCTAGAGATCTATTAATTAGAATTTTGCTGATCATATAATATCAATCTTATATTAAAAAATGATGACATGTAACAGGGAATATGTGAAACATTTAATTAATATTTAAAAAATTTTTTTAAATAAATACAAAATTATTATAGTACAATTAGAACATAATTTGCCTGCATAATCACGTTCACATCGAAGATTACGATACATAAAACGATCCTCGTATTGTGCAATGGTGATATTAATGGAGAAATCGTACATATTTCTTTCTTGTCATGTTTAGTCATACACAGTCGTAATGGCCAAAAATCACGCGAAGCGTGATTCATATTAATAAAAAACCACAATTTAAATTATTGAGAAGTGCGAATATGGTGAAATCCATATTTCGGTGCATAATATCACAGCATGTAATTGCATGTAAGCGGCAGCAAACGCAGATATTCAGGAAAACAAAGCGTCGCGTCGACATGATGACATCGTGAAATTGAGAGAGAGAAACCTGATGTAATCGCACTTTATCTACACACGCTCCGCAAATTTTAAGATATTACGAGAAATCGACGTAATGAAAATCACGGTAAATATGTCGTTTCGCCAACAATTTTCGCACGATTTTTCTTACCTCTTCGGATCACTCATCGTTCAACTTTTAATCAACGTAAAGATACAAGTATGGACACTTGATGTCGGCACCTTTCGATCTGTGGCTGTGGCTGTGGCAAGTCTAGTGTAGAGTGTAAAGGAGATCGCGAAATACAGTCCCACCGGCAGGACTCGCGCGCGCATGCGCGAGTGACGTTTTGTCCACGTGACAAAATTCACTAATTTAGTGCTGCCATGTCGCGGGACGTAAATATCCTCAATTCGTACAGTGAATTGTCTAGCCAATCAACTTCGTCTTTCGATAAGTCCCTCGCACAATGTCAGGCAATAGGCAATAGGAATAAGAATAAGCCTCTTGCACAATGCCAAGCCACAGATTAATAGACAGATCGCCAAAGGCCTGTCTAAAGAGGAGACCGTTATTTTTGCCCCTTACCGACACACTTTGCCCCTGGTTCGAGTCCAGGCTAATAAAATCCTTTAATTTTACCAAAAAACTTTGCCTCTAGTGCGAGTTCAGGCTAAAATCCTTTGATTATACGTGTAAAATAAAAAGATTTTAGCCTGAACTCGCACCAAAGGCAAAGTTTTTTGGTAAAATCAAAGGATTTTATTAGCCTGGACTCGAACCAGGGGCAAAGTGTGTTGGTAAAGGGCAAAAATGACGGTCTCCTCTTTAGACAGGCCTTTGGCGATCTGGGGGTCGATTGTGTATCTCAAAACCTAGTGAAAATGACAAAAGTGAGCATTCACTTGATTGGCTAATTTTCACTATAGTGAAAACACGAAATATTTCACGTGAGATTATTCGACAAGAATTATTGTGTCGAATAATGTCAAAATGTGTCGTATATCCTACTGCATTATATGTTATGTAGAGTAGAGCGCGATTAAAATACGTATTAAAAGAGAGGACATTACATTATACACCAGAATTTGCTGGTATGTAAATAATTATAGTGCATAATTGAGATAAGAAAAGGTATTTTTTAAATCTATTCTTTACAGCTCTAATTGTAAATGCATGTTGTGTTTTACATAACATTGCTTATAAATGGAGAATTCCATTAAATGAAATATATTTGGAGGAAGAAGGAGAAGTGCCGATACCATTTAATGATATAAATATAATGCAAGCAGAAGAAGTACGAATTAAGAAATATTGTGTGATGGTATTTTGAATAGGATATATATATATATATATATATATATATATTTATATATATTTATCACATAAATTGTATCACATAAAATTAGTACATTTCATAATCTTATAATAAATTAATAATTAAGATTATCACAGTACATTTCTTAACTTTATAATAAAAGATTTTTAAACACTACTTTTTTATTAATGTATTGTTTTATATCGATCAATTCTCATAACACGCCGCGTCAATTTTATTCAAGCATGTTCAAAAATGTATCCGCCCCCGACCGAAATCCGAATGTTTATTCATAAAATTTAACATAATTTCTTTTTGTTTCTCTGTAACATTCATTCTTATTCACACCGTTCAAACTGCAGAGGTTATAAAGATAAAGGTATCACTGAAACATATATGCATGTATATACGCTTTACGAAATGTTCACTATGGTTTGTGCTCCCGTGAATCTAGGGATATCGTATTTTCATCTTGCTCATAGCCAATCGCGTGTATTTCTTCACGTGAAATAAATGTGCAAAAAGTGAGAAAAATCGACACAAATAGACAATCGATCCCCTGTATGTTTGTTTATTAATCCGTGGCCAAGCAACAGGCAATAGGAATAAAAAATAAAAAATATTTATCAATAGGAACAGAGAATAATATCTATCTCCTTTTCCGATTGGTTGATATTTTCTATTTCTTATTCTTATTGCCTGTTGCCTAGCATTGTGCAAGGGGCCTAAGGCCCTAAGAAATAGAAAATATCAACCAATCGAAAAAAGAGATAGATATTATTCTCTGCTCCTATTGGTGGATATTTTCTATTTTGTATTTTTATGTATTGCCTGTTGCTTGGCATTGTGCAAGGGGCTTTAATAGCGCGCTCCCTGAATCTAGCCTGTCTCTTACCTAGCCTCAACCTGAGCTAGCCGAGCGAGTTTTAATAAGACAACCATGACCAGTAAGGCGAGATAAAATCCTTCAAGTAACAGAGGTCGTTAAATAAGTGAAAAGAAAAAAAATAAAAGGCAACTGTTTATCACGTAGAATGTTTATTGTGCTAAATGCTAGCTAGCGGAATTTTTCCTAATTATGTTTGAAAGTGACGATTGGACTTTTGAAGTGAGTTTTTTTATTTACATAATTTTACTTATCAGAATTTATTCGAATAATTTATCTAATTTTTTATCTAATTTATCTAATTTTAATATTTTAATATTTAATAATTTATCTAATTTGTTTTGTATATTGCAATTTTATCAACACGCATTTGATAGAGTATCTTGATATTATTTATGCACAATTGATGAAGGTACAATATATATACTATATATACCCAGATAGCCACAGTAATTATTATGACATCATTTTGATGTCAAAATGCATTATTTGCCATCAAAATGATGCATTTTGACATCAAAATGTCATAATAATTACTGTGGCTATCTGGGTACATATGCATATAATTTACTTACAATTTTAGGATGTGTTTGATGATATTGATGAGAAAACGATACAATTCCATTCTCGGTGTCTAAGTGAACAAGAATCATCATCTGTAAAACGACGTAAAGTGGACAACTCCAAGATTCTATTTTCGTCGATGGACAATACTTTTAATTCAGATGGAAATATTGCAACGGAGAACAGCACATTGTCCCGTAACAATGAGAGTGATACATCACGAAATCTTTTATTAGGAATCTTCCAGGAAAATGCTTCTCAAGAGAGATTTAATCTTGCCAAAGAGATAAGCAAACCATTAAATGATATACAAAGAGAAGCACAATGTTTTCAGTTATGTAAAACAAATACATTGCATTATAAAAAGTCTAAAGAAAAGAACTATATTAAGACTGTAAATAAAGTAAAACTTGATAAAGAAGTAAAATTGGTTAGAATATTCCCTGGGCCAGCTGGCTTAATATCAGATGTTAAAAATGATAATATTTCTGTTGTATCATATTTAGATAGAGTGAAAGAGTTAGAAAAAACAGCGATCAAACATATCGAGATCAAGTCACAAAACGAGAAAAATTTGGTTGGAGAAAAAGCTTGGAAATTTTTACTCGATGATGTATCGGATCATTTTTTAGAGGAATATAGAATTTCTATGATTAAAAAGAAGGCAAATACTAATCATTGCAATAGCATGAAAGTAAAATTTATAGCAGGTGTATTGGATTGTATAGATCATAGTCAAGATGATCCATATATTATATTAAAAGATTCAACAGGTTGTATAGAGGGTACCATTCATCGTGATATTCTATTAAAATATCCTGGAATATTAGAGCCAAATGTGGTTATTTTTTTACACAATGTAGGATTGTTAAAAACTACAACGTATATACTAACAAATAAATATCATATTCTAATATCTCAAGTAAACTTACTAGCTATATATTCTGATAAAGGTCGGATTGTAAGTACGCCTCATATGGAAAATATTTTATCAAATATTGAATTAAATAAAGATTATCATTCTATGCCAGGAACATATGAAAATTGTGATAAGGTAACATTGCAAATAAATTTTTCCGTTGATAATAAATCAATTAAGGATTGCGAACCTGTATCGATAAAAGATCCGATATTATATCAAGCAAGCAGAAAATATCCAAGTTACAAACAGGATTATGAAAATTGTAAAGATAAAATATTTTCAAGTCCCAACTATTCGATAAGTATGAATAATAATTTAGATATGAATAATATTTTCTCGACTACCGATTGCGAATTTTTAATTTCGAAAAAGCAGAATTGCCTTAGTTCCCAGAGTACTTTGTGCAATAAGAAAATTCAACAATACGAATTACCATCACGGAATATAAACTACTTGGAAAATACAAGAAAAGAATCGATAATAAATTCTCAAAATAAGATGGGAGAGGAAAAATACTTGTCGCAATCTTTACAGAAATGCGTCGCGGATGTAAAAATTTCTAATGCACAAGACTCGCGTGAAAGTTGTCTTTACGATAATATATCGCACGAATCGCATACAAATTCAAATTTAAATGTAAAATCTACATTGCCGGAAATAAAGAGTAACTTAGATAATTTAAATACTCTGGTAAGCTACTTTAGTAATGTTAATGAATACGATTCAGACGACGAGATTTTGTCACAATTGGATGCAGATAACGTTTTTAATGCGGCCATGTCTAAGAAAAAATGTTAAAAAATATTTTTATGTAAATACATCATCGACATCACACATAATTGCGATTAGATATAAATACAATAGATAAAATAGGTACAATTAGATTTAGATAGATTTAATATTAATGTAATTATATTGTATGAAAAATAAATTTACGCGTGATACGTTACTCTCTCTCTCTCTCTCTCTTTCTCTCTCTCTCTCTCTCTCTCTCTCTCTCTCTCTCTATCTCTCTATATATATATATATATATATATATATATATATATATAATGTAAAATAATTAATTTGATTCTATTACTAGTATATAGATAGAGCGGGATCAAAAAGTAATAAGAAGCGAAAGTGACAGTTCAAATATTAATCTATAAATATATATATATCCAGCTAACCATTTCTGCGGAGGCAAATGTAGGCAACAACTTTTGTTTGTTAAAGGGCCGCAGATGAGAAACATATTTTGTTATTGTAAACAGTGTGAGCATATATAATTCAGTAAATATTTCCCAACATCAATTCGCAGACTATAGTTTGCTAAAAACCCCTTATTTTCAAACGCTTATTATAATTCGATTATTGATGATGTCTCGACTTTTTCCTTGAGGAATTCGTTCAGAAATATGATATTTCCAGGACATTAGGTTGTTGTGAATTACCCTGTATATATGCGTGTGTTGATTATCAGATAAAGCTAAACAATTGATAAGGTGGTTTATTATAACATGCGTATGTATCTTATATCTTATTACTTATTACTATATATATTTATAATTTATATTGATATTTGAATTCTTTCTTTTGACCCCGCTTTATTCTAAATCAAATAAAGTAATAAGAATATATATATATATATATATATATATATTCCTTATAGAAATTTATCATTAGTAACGCCAATTAATTTATCACTTATTTCGAATACTGAAATTACTGTATATCAGTATTTTAAGTACTCGAAATATGTGATTAATTGACGTTCTAGTGATAAATTTCTACAAGGTATATATATATGTATATATATTTTTTTTATTCTTTTAATTAAAATTATTATATATATATATATATATATATATATATATATATATATATTAATAAAAGTAACGCGCGCTATTTGTAAAATTGTACATTTAATCTTATCTCTCATTTATCATTCATAATAAAAATATTATTTCATTTGCCGTGTCATATAATTTACACGATAATGTTGTTTCATACGATTTAATCGGTTACACACATGGTAATAAAAGAGGATATTGACGCTATATGTAGTATAATTTTGTAACATACAAAAGACATATTGATATATTGATTTGATGAGATATATTGTACATACTGTAATATAAATGTCTAATTATATACTTGAAGTTATTGATACAAATGAAACAAATATTTGAAAAATCATATTTATAATCTTATCTTTCTGTTCTTTATAACCCACATAAAACATTATATTAGATTGTGTCAGAAAGTTAAGGACGACGAAATACGCTCTGTATGATTTGATTAGTTAAATACATAGTATAAAGGAACGTAAATTATCCGTAATATATAATTTCACAATTGTATGCAAAAAACATATAATATTGTGCATTTTGTAATGTGATATATATATATATATATATATATATATATATTATATATGTAAGTATACATTCGCGTTTTGTAACGTGTATTATAATTAATTGTTTCGTGCAATTGTTGTCAAATTATATTACATGCATGATTTATATTCATTCTTATTCTTTTATCACGTGTTGATAGCAATTGAATTGTACATGCTACGTTATCGCTGGATTTGCGACTATAAAGGAATAACATTTTACGAAATCACACATGAAAAGATAAGATCGTAAAAATGCGATTTTATTCTTATTTTTCATACAATGAATTTTACTTTCAATAAATTTAAATTAAGAAATATACAAATATCTATTTATATATATTATTATGTGTATATGCATATATATTCACTTTATACATTTTTTGCTTAAAGTATAAAACACGTGCAATTGTTTGTGTGGTTAATGTTGTGTGTATAATGATGTGAATACTTATATACCTATATTATTTTATAATTCGGAAACATGTCTTATGCGTCTACCCAGCGAGAAATATATATATGTATATGATTGGTCGAATCGATGTCGGTTCGAACAATTCGACATCGATTCGACTATTACTTCTCGCTGGATATACGCTAGTTAATTACTTAAATATTTACAGTAAATTATTCGCGATGAATTATACATATATACAATTATATATATTACAAGGTCGATCGCTAAATGGATACACATTGATGCACATGTTAATCGATCTCGTCCTTGTGTGCGCAGAGCAATTTTTTTTATATAATACTGAAATCAGACATAAGGAAATTATTAAAAGTTGCGCATAAAAAGTATAGCTACATAAAAAAAGATAAGTTTTTCCAATAAATTCTTATAACATATTAAAGCACACGCGAATCAATGATTGTCGCGCATTATTATTGCTATACATTTTCAATGATTATAACATATCGCTCTATATAACAATATATGTATACATATATATTTGTTTCAATAGAAAGAGAAAGGTATTAATTAAATAAATATGAAACACCAAGACACGAGTTTGTTGTACCAAGAAAAGGTACGAATGAATGGATTAAGATTGTCAATTGTGTAAAATATGTAGGATAAGAGCAGATCGCTTTGAGATTAAGATTAGCGAAATAACTTGTTTTTTGCTCACGCGTATTGAAGAGGATTATCCTGATCTCGTATATTATTTATTTCCATTTTTCTTTTGCAATATATGCATATACATCAACGTCAAAGTTTTATTGTCATTTTTGGATATTTTTGCAACGACATTCAATAAATGGCAAAGATTTATCGGATATTGACTCTCTTTTTAACATACAATGTAAAACATTTAATTTTAATATATTAATTTTTACTATTGAGCTTTTAAATATATATGCACGTCTTTTATATGTGTACGTACGTGTTGTGTGTATACATATATATGTGTGTGTGCACGCGCGTGTCGAATGGCTGAAAGAGATAAAAAAAGTGCCGTTTATTGCATTTTATTCACGCGCGCGCGCGCGCCACGTACGCTCGCGCATAGAAGCGCATGCGTTCATACACATACCATAATCTTAATGAGAAAGAAATATAATGCGACAGTATGTTTTTTCAACAATTCGAAGTATCAGCGATATCTCCATCAACATTACCGCACATACATTTTATGTTTTCATATGTGTTACATCCTTGTGAGAGCAATGTCAATTTTTCATTCGAAAATATAAAGTCACTTTTAACGCTCGGTTTCTTTTCGTATGTGTTTTTAATTTATGTGCTTATTCGCTCATTGTCAATACAAGCATTTTTTTTAAATAATTTTTTTTTAAAAAAGGTACCAATTTTACACATTTATCCAAAAATTTGCATAAGATTATATTTTTAATAAAAATAAATATATTATATATATATATATATATATATATATATATATATATATATTGTTAATTAAACCTATTCTTGATTAAATTTATCCTCATATAACAAAATATATGATTAAAGTTGTGTTATTAGCTAATATATAAATATAAAATTATTCTAATATTTTTGTACCCTGCATGTATATATATATATATATATATATATATATATGTATATATATTTATTTCAGTATATTGTATACATTACTATTGTATACATATTTATTTCAGGAGAAATGATTAGCACTCTAGGACATTATACATCCAATTTTAAACAAAAAGTTTATATAAATTTTTATTTATATAAACAGGTATCCTATTCTGGACGATTCTATATAAAGATATAACGCGTGTTCGCAAGTAAGAACGAATACAGTTATATTATTAACTTACAATTAGTAGAACCAAATGTTATGAAACAATTATATTTAATTTTTGTTATTTTCGGTTATCATATATATATATATATATATATATATATATATATATATATAGTTATATATACGAATGTAAGCATTAGATCACGTTTAATAAAGTCCTGCGTTAAAAATGTTTGATTTCTGGTGTAATTATTAAAATGTCATATTCACTCATGCCAAAATTATTATTAATTAATTGTAATTTAATTATTTTTTATTAATTAATATTAATTATATTCAAACGTATTGAAAATTTCAAATTTAATATAATTGTTTATAGAATTTGATTCTAATAAGTTAATAAACATATTCGTTCTTAAGAGAAACTACACATTTATAATCTTTGAAAATAGGATACATGTTTGTATAAACTTTTTTGCTTACAATGACGTGTAAAATATATATACAATAAAAAGTGTTTTATAATATATTTTCATATTATTCTCAAATTACATTTATCATTACATTGTTATTTATTTCGAAGAAATTGATTCTAAAAATATATAGATTTGAGATGACGCGGAAAATGCCAAATATTGTTATTAATCTATATTAAGTTTTAAACGATAAAATTGGCATATCATTGTCATATGTTTCAATGTATATTTTCGCTTAAAAAGGTTTAAAATTAATCGCAGGTAGAGACTAGCTATCGCGAGCGGTTTATTTATACTATTACTGTCTTTCATTGCGGATTTCGATTATCTTATTGTAATTCCATTATCGAGATCGAGAAATATTCCATTTGTTGCGAAAGTTTGGCGAAAGTTAAAAGACGAAGAAAAAAGGGGTGAGTGGTTGTACTTTATCAATGAGACACAGAGAGCGGGGGAGACTCGAGCTAACAACGTCAGCAAAATATGCCGTGCGCACAGCTCCACTTTGTCGGTCGACGTAAAATGTGACAGTGCAGTTTGGTGCGCTTCATACGTGAGACAAAAGTGATACCGCAGCAAAGAAAAAAATTTATATATTAAAAAATTATTAACGGGCCAGTTGTAAGTTGCTTACTTGTACTATAATATATGATACGTCACTCGTTATAAAGTTTACGAACACTAAACGAATGTCAGCCATCGACCGACACATCCAAAGTTCACTCGTTGACCTTGTGCTGCAAACGATAACGAAGCGCTCTCATTGCTTCCGCCTTGCAATTCCATTCATTGATTGCTCAAATTTCAAGCAATTTCAACGACAGATAAATCGTTCTCTAAATCTGTGCCGTATTGGCCTTGGCTGCATTTTACAAAGAACGTGCGAGTATACTTATAACGGTTTATTTAAGCGGTTATTTTTAATTCCTCAACAACACACAAGTGGATATCATATGGAATTTAACAAATTTTTTGCATTGTGAACATTCGGCGAATCGATTTGAATCGGTCAACACATTTCGCAAATGAGAGTGCGCGTGCGCGTTTCCCGAAATTGCCGACTCTTGTCCGTGCGTGAAATCATCATCTACTTTTGCCGTCATCAAGGAAAGGAAAAACATCAAAGAAACTAAAAAATATTCGAACAGCATTATATATTTGTACGTATTTCTCATATTTGTTGTAGTTGTTATTATTATTATTATTATTATTGTTGCTTTCATCATTAACATATTTATAATAATATAGTAATAATGAAAATTATTTATTATTATTTATATCATTGTGTGTGAGATAGATAAAAGAACACAGAACACAGATAATTATTTCATATTACGAAAGGTGTTACGAAAAGGTGAGCGTGTTGTTTTTGCATCACGATTTTCGAAACAAATATGTTTGTAGATATATATATATAGTTAACTAGAAAGTGAAATTTATGCGTCAATATATTATCAAGTCAATTAAACATTAATATTCTTATACTTTATCGGCAAAACGTTTACAAAAAATATTTAACAAGACTCGGCACTGTGACTAATATTTACGACTATAAAACTCGATATTATACGACGTCAATAGCCGACATATCGTTGTTGTAACAGTCGTGCATTTTTCAAGCAGGTTATTGCTTTAAGTCATTAGAATTCCTTCGGTTTTTCACAGTCTCTCTTTCAGGTATTCGGATAATATCTCTACTTAATATATGTATGTATGTGTGCAATGGATTGTCAAGATGCACGTATATCGACATATACAAATGTAACAGTTTATTTAAATGAATTGTTGATTTTTTGAGATATATTCGCTATATTTGTCTAAATATATTTTCTTGAAAGTATATATTTTTTTAAAAATATATTATAAAAATATGTAAATTATCTGTTCGACATCTTTTTTAATATCTAATAATATATACGATGCATTGTCACGAAAACTGAGTGCAACGTTTTTTCGCGATATAAATTTAATAATACGTATTGTATATAATAACATTAACATAACTAATGCTATTTATAAACATATCCACAGACGCATGTATATACATACCTATATGTATATGATATGTCACAAAAGTAATGAGACTAAATATAGAATATGCTGCACATATAATGTAGCAGCATTGAAAAATTCTAAATTATGCGGGATGTATACATAGTACAATCCTTTCTTTAAAACACACCAAGTTTCGATTCTTTCGGTTGGGTTTGTCATTATTATAATTTGTGTCATACAATTTTTTCATAAGTGTGTATTAATAGACCTTGCGTTTTCGTTATGAGGCGATAAAACATTGAATAATAATATATACTATAATGATAATATATGCTATAAAATTTTATGTTGAATTATAAGAGAATGTTATGGATTGGTAAAAAAAGTTAAAAAAGTTTGGTAATCATGCTTTATTACGTGCTTAGATTTTCAGTGCGCGGTTTATCTTCAACTATTTCGCAATCTTCCCGTAAACATATATATATGTTATTGCTATCGAAAACTTGAGCACATGATAAAATATTCACTAAATGCTTTTTTCAACTTTTATCGTTTATTTTTATTCAATACTTTATCATTCCAACAATTACGAATTCGGTGATGAAGTCATTTACTCAAATACATATATTGAAAATATTACAATATGACACATGAACGTAATCAAACGAATTGAAACTTTGTGCTTTTAGAGAGGAAAATCTCTATATACATAAATATATACATTTCGCGTTATTAGGATTTTTCAATGCTGTCACATTATGCGTTTCATTTCTTTTGTAATAGAGCATGTGTGTATATATATATATATATATGTACAATATGTGCAGTAATGTATATGTTACAAAAATTTCATTAATCTTGTTCAGTAGGCGGCGTTAATTGAATTCACAAGATAAGGTCATTAATTGTATTAACAAAAATTGATACGCGATTTATCAGTTTTTTCGTAGCAAGTATAACAAATATTTAAATTATACCATTTATTAATTATAAAAAGCATGCTCTTCAAGTAAAATATAAAAAAATTTAGTCGTTAAAATCAAACATTATTAATGTACTAGATTGTAGAAATATGTGTGTCAATTGCACTCTCTCTTTTGTCCGCAAATTTTCTGTTCACTTTAAAGTTTTTTTTTAAAATAAAATAACTTTATTCAAATAGTAATATCAATTATTTATGATTTATTTATAACTTAATATTAACAAAAAATTTAATTTAAAATACTTTTTAATTTATTATCATATATAATGTAAAAGTTCATAAAATTACCAATTTCAAGTCAAGAATTGCATTAAAATTTTCATACTTTGGATAAAAATAAAATTACTTCAAAGAATGCACAAGTGAAAGGAAACGTATATAGAAAAGTAGGAACATTTTGTATATATTATACATGTATCAATTCTTTTTACCAGTCTGCACAAAGTACCAGTAATTCCAGTTTTTAATATGATTGAGCTATACATATGATTTGTGTGAGTTGTTGCGAAATTGAGGTAGAATGTAATAATTGTATATGATTGGCTTTACGAAAGGATACATTAGAAGTGATAAATTGATATGATATATATATATATATATATATATATATATATATATATATATATTCACACACATACATATATATGCGCACACTATAGTTACATGTTATGTATATGTGTATAAAATATAGATATAATAGATATTGTGTCACAGAATTTTGTTACGCAACAGATTTGATGAAAAACTTGCATAATATTTAACATAATGTATATAAAAGCTAATGTAAATAACGTTAATGTAAATAATAAGCGACATTTCAGATATTATTATTATTGGCACAAATTGGAGTAATAAATCAGTGGATTGTAAAAAAAACTGTCAAAAACCTACGGCATAATTTAATCAAATAAACTCGAAGTTATGATCGATGCTAATGGTAAGTATCAAAACTGTATTCGAAATAGTAATCAACAAATTATTGCGTGAATAATTTCGTACTTGAAAATTTAGTATATTTTTTATATTGCGCAATAAGTTTTTATAATAGTTTAGAATTTAGAATATATTAAAAAAATATCATACAGAAATATGCATAAACTGATGTAGTGAAAAACAATACAGTTTTCATTTATAAAAATGTATGTTGGTCAAAAAAAAGAGAGAGATTTTTTTAAATTAACGTTTCTGTCTTCCTTCCTCCATTTTAATTTCTTTCTATACACACATATATTATTGTGTTGAAAGGTATATAAATAATTATATAAAAAATATCACTTTGCGCGGTCTTTCTTCTATCTTATTATTTTTCGTTAAAGTTTTAATCAAATATTTTTGCTTTATATTTTTAGTGTTTTCTCTTTCGTCTAATTTTGAGTGATATATTCGGCTTTGAAGTGTTTTGTTAATATGTGCAGGAAAATTGCTTTACAAAATAATAAAACACATAATTTATGACCCATAACAAGCCAATAAAAAGTAAATTGACAGGCAAAAATGTTTATACATATTATATTGCTTACGATTGACAGTACACCTATATTTTTATTTATGACATGTGTATTTCTAGCAAATATTTTTAAAATTTTTAATGGCGTAAAATATATTCTTTACTTTTTTATGTTAGATTTTATTTTTTAAGCTTATGTTTTGTATCATTGTGCGTGTATTCTAGTTTTTCTCCCTCTAGAGCTGCGTTTGTAAACGTCCCTCGAATACATTTCCTCTCTTTCTATGTATATCACTTCTTGTCAGTGATATAGAAAGAGAGAAAATGCACTCGAGGGACGTTTACGAACGCATCCTATTTGATTACTTTATGTTCTATTTTATAACACATTTATATAATACTATTGAGGCACTATACTTTGAATATAGCGCATTGCTAATATATTATTTAAAATCTATTATTCACAATTAATAAAACAAAAAGTCGCACTATAATACATATATTATTGTGCAATATAAAGATTTTCTATTTCAAATGGTCGGGATATTTAGGGATTTAGGGATATTATATTTATTTTATTTCTTTTTTAGAAGTGAATAAAGACAACACAAAATCGGATGTCTTATGGCAAAAAATTTACGCTGATCAAAATGAACATTTGGTATACGGTCAACTCTTTTATTGATATGCATTAAATTTATTCTTGTCTTAATTTTATTATATTGTTTCTTATGATATGCAATATACGGCATATTTTAGCATATTTACGGATTCGAGAAGAGTTTGCTGAGAACTATTGTAACATACGTTTTGTATGTATTGTCTATTGGATGGATCAGATTATTATTTCACTGGTATCCTCGCCTGCATTTGTATGCCACTCATCGAAGATGTACTTTAAATCGCGCAACGAAAATACTCGCAATAGTAAGTATTTTCTTTGTTATTGTTATATTATATATAAATTATTCTTTTAATTATCATATTATTATTCATCAAACAAATAAAAATTTTATAAATAATAATAGTAATTGTAATAGTAATAGTACCTGTATAATAACAGTATTATTAATAGTATTATTAGGTGGTAGTAGTAGTAGTAGTAGTAGTAGTAATTATATAGTAGTAGTAGAGAGAAAGAGAAAGAGAGAAGGGGGATGATAATAATAACAATAATGAATGTGTAGGATGATTATCAAGGAGAGTACAAGTCATACTTTGTACGGGATGTCCAAAAAATTTCTACTAAAAATCTAAGGTAAGATATATTAATGTGCGAAATATTAAAAACAATAATATAATGTATATGATATAGTATACATATAGTATACATATAGGATCGTAAATACACGCGCTATGCTTCAAAAATGAATGTACCCACATATACAGTGTTTGCTGTTATCTAAATAAAATTATATAGATAATCATTTAAGTAGAAAATAAAAATTTGGCGTCATCTTATCTTTTATATAGATAATTATTATTATATATTAATATTGCGTAAAAAATTTTACGTTTTTGTGTTTAATACACACACACACACACACACACACGCGCGCGCAAACGCATGCATACATATATTATTTAGAAAAATAATATAATTGATTAAAATAGGAACGATATATTAATTGATTAAAATTTGATAAAAATTTGAGAAATTTCTTTATACATATATATAGAGATTAAAATAAGAGTTTAATTTTATGCAAAATATATTTTTGTGTTCTTTGGTTAATCAACTATGTTTTTATTAAGTCAATCATTTCTTCTTTTTAATATAAAATAAAATGCAAATTAAAGATTCGCTAATTCTATGTTATGTTTTCAGTGCGCAAAATTTTGCGGTTACTATTATTAATCAAGATCTTGTAGAGAAAATCAAGGACAAGACATTGAAAATTAATTTAGAAAACGGTACGCATTGTGAGGTTTACGAATATAAGGCTTTCTGGTGCAAAAAAAAGTGTTATATCTGGGACGTTACAAAACATGCATTTTCGAGACTTGTAGGATTTGAAAATGGTGTACTGTGTTCCAAATTTCATCTCTCATGTAGTAGTGCCTTATCCAAGGAAGAGCAATTGCTTAGGTAATTTTTTTCAAATTAACGTTAAATGTTCTCTCTAGATATAACGCTTAATTTACATTTATTTTTGTTAGTATTTATTAATGTACATTCATTTAGTAATTGAAAAAGGAGCTTTTTCCAGTTTAAGAATGTTCCGTCTTCTTATTACAGACGTATTGTATACGGAAATAACAACATTGTTGTACAACTCCAGAGTATCAGTGTATTATTACTGTTAGAAGTTTTAAATCCATTTTACATTTTTCAAGTATTTACCGTGGCATTATGGCTTGCGGAAGATTATCTATATTACACAATTGCTATAATATTAATGTCATTGTTTGGCATAACAAGCACTATAATTCAAACTCGAAAGGTATGTATGTATATGTATATATTATGTAAGAAAACCAAAAATTATGTCTAACATTACATCATGTATAAAATTATATGATTATCGTTTACTTATAGAATCAACAGAATTTACGGGGTACTGTTGCGTCTTCAGAGAACGTACATGTACGCGTACTTCGAAATACTGGTATTTTTGAGAATATTTCTAGCAAGGAATTAGTACCCGGTGATGTCATAGAATTACCGAGGCATCAAGCGACTCTGGTATGCGACGCAGTCTTATTAACGGGGCAGTGCATAGTAAACGAATCCATGTTAACGGGTAAAATCGATCATACATATACATCTTTTTTCTCAAAGCTTTTTTTAACGAATTTTTTTTTTATATACATAGATATTTATTAATTTTTAACAACTTTAGGCGAGTCTATACCAGTAAGAAAAACATCATTACCATCACGTCACGTATTGTACGATGCTAAAGAGTTTACGCACCATACATTATATAGTGGCACCACTATTATACAAACCAAGTATATTATTTTATTCTTAATAACAAATATATAATAATATACGGATGTACAAAAATTAATAAATAATCCGTAGATATCACGGAAATCAACCGATTCTTGCAAGAGTGATTAGAACTGGTTTTCTAACTAACAGAGGTGGTTTAATAGCCGCTATATTATATCCTCCTCCAGCAGATTTCAAATTTGATAAAGATTCGTATAAATTTATCGGCATTTTGGCATTCATTGCAACTTTGGCTGTTATATATACCGTAGTAACAAAGGTAATGCTCTTATTTTGAATTAGAGATATGTAAGCCACAAAAAATTTTTCTTTTATAGTTATATGTTTACACATTTTAATCTATTTAATTATTTAACTTAAAACTATAAGAAGTTTTAATAATGTACATATGTAATATATATAAATGATAAATAATTTAGGTTTCGAGAGGAATTACAACTAGTGATGTAACGATGAAGGCACTAGATATTATCACGATAGTGGTACCACCAGCATTACCGGCTGCGATGACCGTAGGAAAGCTTTATGCTCAAGCTAGATTGAAACGTGCGCAAATCTATTGTATTAATAATAAAGTCATAAATGTTTCCGGCAGCATAAACTGTGTATGTTTCGATAAGGTAAGATAAAGATGTAGATAAATATGGGTGCGCGCGCGCATGATAAATTTTTTGTTTTTTTTTCTTTTTTCATTTTAATTAACATCATAGACGGGAACATTGACCGAAGATGGATTGGATATGTGGGGCGTTGTACCATGTACAAACGGCGTCCTCGGGAAGGCCGAGACGGATATATCCAAGCTTAGAGATCATTCTCTTTTCAAAGGAATGCTGGTTTGTCATAGTTTATCAGTAATCAACGGAAAACTTTGCGGAGATCCTTTGGACGTGAAGGTAAAATATTCGATTATATTATTGTTCCGCAGTTGTTCCGTAATTATTTGATATCTCGATGTAATGATATATCGATTATTATGCGTTACAGATGTTCGAAAGTACTAAATGGATATTAAAAGAGTCGAATTGCATGGATGTAAATAAGTACGATGCGATAGCACCGGTAGTTGTAAAGCTGCCGAAGAATAATTTTACAGAAAATATAAACAAAGAAATGTCGGAAATCGGTATAATACAACAATATCAATTTTTGAGTTCTTTACAACGAATGTCCGTGATTGTACGTGTATTAGGATCGGATAATTTTAGAGCTTACACGAAAGGCTCTCCCGAAATGATAATCAATTTAAGCAAAACAGAAACTGTACCGAATGATATTTCCTTCGTTTTGGAACGATACACGAGACAGGGTTATCGCGTAATAGCTATGGGTTGTCGAACGATCTCTGAAAATAGTGCAGAGGTAATATATCTCGTATATAATATATCAACGCACATTCGTGCATATAATTCAACTCTCATCTCTCTCATGGAATATCTCTTGCGGAGAATACATACGAATGTTCTAGGTATTGAAATTATCTCGAGAAGTGGTCGAGCGAGACTTGGAGTTTTTAGGACTAATCGTTCTAGAAAATCGATTAAAACAACCAACAGCATCAGTGGTTACGGAATTAAGAAAAGCCAACATACGCGTAGTGATGATTACAGGTTTGATCAAATAATATAATTCATAAATTTTCCTTTCACGCGTTAATGTATATATATATATATATATATATATATATATATATATATATGCCCTATATATATATATATATAGGGCATTCCATATCAACTCAACTTTTTTCCCCGATCATTTTTTATTTGTTTTATTTCATGAATTTCATGTAGCTTTCATAAATTTTTTTAGATTTTTATCTTCATTAATTTCCGAGTTATATATTTTTAAAATTAAAAAAAATTCCAATATTTATAACTTGAAGAAAAATGAATATATTGTCATTAATAAGGTGGTAATTTTTTTCGTCTTTGAATGTATTTTTTAAACAAATTATTGAAATTAAAAAAGAAAATTTAATAGTGTTTTAGTCAATTTTAACGAAATTTTTTTTCCTTAATAAGACCTCTAAAATTTTTTTTATAAAAATATATAACATTTTAGATTTCAAAACAAAATTTTTGAGTTATTAACTAAAAGAGGATTCAAATATTTTCGATTTTTAAGGCTATTTTTCGAATATTTTTTTTTCAAAAATCGCATTTTTTAAATTGTTTGCACACTATTTTGATTAAAAAAATTAATATTTACAAAATTAATAAGCACTTATTTCTAAAAGTCAGAAAAATTCCAATGATTGTAATTTTTTAAGATTTTTGCTATATTTTTGAAAATAGTGTTTGTCAGTTGTTTAGGCAACTCCGATATTAAGGAGAACAATTTTAAAATAAAAGATATTAATGCAATCAAACATATTTTATTAAAAATTAGTACATGAAAACACTTTTGTTAAATTACATAGTTTAAATAATTAATAAATTTAATAAATAATTAAATAATTAAATGTAAGTGTAAAAAAATGCAATGTTTAAAAAAAAATTCGAAAAATGGCCTTAAAAATCGAAAATATTTGAATTCCGTTTTCACTAATAGTTCAAAAATTTTGTTTCGAAGTCTAAAATGTTATATGTTTTTATAAAAAAAATCAAAGGGGTCTCATTGAGGGAAAAAATAATTTTGGTTAAATTTGATTAAAACATTATTAAATTTTCTTTCTTTAATTATTTCAATATTTTGTTTGAAAAATACATTCAAAGACAAAAAAAATGACCACCTTATTATAATGACAATATATTCATTTTTCTTCAAGTTATAAATATTTAAAATTTAAAAAATTTTTAAAAATATATAACTCGGAAATTAATGAAAATAAAAAAAAAAAATTCATGAAAGCTACTTTCAATATAGATACAAAAAGATAAAAAAAATAAATAAGCAAATAAAAAATGGTCGGAGAAAAAAGTCGTTAATTATTGGTATCGAATGCTCCATATGTATTCAAATTCAAATTTAACAGATTTTATTTTTGAATTTTAGGAGATAATATCCAGACTGCAATAAGTGTCGCAAAAGAGTGTGGGATACTCGCGATCGAAGAACATATTGTAGATGTAGTTGTAGCTTCGACAAAGGGAAAAAAGGATGATCGTCCAGAAATATTTTTAATGTTCAGTGTCAATCTTCGACATTGGTAAAAATTTGTCGAACTTTGAATTAGATATTGCGCGATCTTGTGATAAAAAGTCAACGACTAATGAAAATAAAATTTTTTTTCGCAGAACTCGCGAGATCAAGTGTTAGCGACACCAACAATTCAAGATATAGAACGCGGTATAACCAATTGTAATTATAGATTTGCTTTAACGGGCCAAACGTGGCAAGTATTGAGAGAACATTATCCTGACCTCGTAGATCGCATTTGCGTACGCGGTACAATATTCGCTAGAATGAGCAGCGATCAGAAGCAACAATTAATTATGGAGCTTATGCGTCTTGGTTACTATGTAGGTATGTAAGCGTATAAGTTATATATTGAAAAAAAGTGAAACGGATATCTTATTTATAATAAATTTATACGCGATATAACCGCAGTTTTGCGGTGCAGTATTGTACACGCTTTTATATATATGTATATATATATATGTATATATTAGTCATGTGCGGAGATGGTGCCAATGATTGTGGAGCATTAAGGGCTGCTCATGTTGGTATATCGCTTTCCGAAGCAGAATCCAGGTGAGAAACATATGCGCGCTTGCATTACATATATTTATTAATTGTTATCTTTTATTTTTTTTATTCATTTGCAGCGTGGCTAGTCCTTTCACCTCGCGAGTATCCGATATAAGCTGCGTTCCAAAAGTGATACGAGAAGGGCGTGCTGCTTTAATCACGTCGTTTGGAATTTTTAAATTTATGGTCGCGTATTCTCTTACTGAATTTCTATCCGTTATAATATTATATTCCATAGACTCAAACTTGTCGGATTTGCAATTTTTATTTATCGATATTTGTCTAATCATTAACTTTGCCTTCTTTTTCGGCAAAACTCACGCTTATAAAAAGAAATTATCCAAGACAACGCCAATGACAAGTTTGATAGGTTTAACACCCCTTTTATCTCTAACGGTACACATGTCCGTGATGATAGTTTTCCAAATGATAGGATATCACGTTGTTCGACAGTTTTCGTGGTTTACGCCATTTGTACCTACTAGCAATACTAGATACACATGTTACGAAAACTATTCAGTTTTTTGTGTTTCTATGTTTCAATACATCACAATGGCTATTATATTTTCGCGTGGAAAGCCATATAGACGTCCGATATATACCAACAGCGCATTCATGTTTTCCATCATTTTATTAACGTTCATATGTGCGTACATTACAGTTTATCCGGCAGATTGGATAGTGAATGCGTTACAATTAATTGTACCGCCCGTTTACGACTGGAGACTCATTATCCTAGCACTCGCTATAATTAATTTTCTCATTTGTTTTTTCGTCGAAAGCATTATAATAGAACGTGTAATCGAGAATACTTTGAAAAGAAGAATGTACAAACTGAATAAATCGAAAAAACGATATTTAAAAATAGAATATGAATTAAAAAATTGCGAAAATTGGCCAAAATTCGGTAAACAACTTTCAATATTAACTACCCTGCGTAAGGAAGATGACGTACGGAACATTACGAATATTACATATAATAGTAATTGTCCGACTAATAATCGAATGGTAAATAATGACTCGATCGAGTTACCACGCAGAAATATCAGTAAGAAAAATGGTTTCGAAAATCTTGGTTTCGTAAAAATGATTAAATATATACATAATGTATCTATTTTCGAGAAATCTTTTTTAAATCTCTCATCATAAAACTCAGTATTAGCGTAATAATATATGTACCTAATATATGTACGGATATTGGAATGTATATCGCATTAATGAAAGGGTGTTTGCATAAAAATATTGAGGAATATATATTATACACATGCGTATATACATATGGTATTATTAACGACAATTCGGAAATATATTTAATGTTTTGGAAAAAAAATTGAATATATTTTTATATATCTTTATTTTCGAAAAGTCGCCAATGTCGAAAAAAATGTTTCTTTTTTTTTCATATTTATATATCATTTTTATAGAATATGTTATCATATGATAAGCCGTTTGTATATTATGATATACATATGTATATATGCGAATTATGTAAAGTACAAAGTAATACACGCGTAGAAAATACGCATGACAATGTTATTCACATGCAATGTAGTTTCATATTTATTAAGATTTGTTTTAAAAAATATTTCTCTTGTAATTTAACAAATTACTCGAGTTGTTTTAATAGTATTATATAATATTATTTAATAGTAAATTTGCGAATCCATAAAGTAAAATAGATTATAAATTATAAGTCTAGATTCCTTATCATTGTGTGAACCAATAATGTCAATTTTCTTGGCATTTTCTGAAAGAATAAATTGTGAATATGTTAATTATAATGCGACAATATAATTTAGAGAATCTTACTCTTATATAATTCCTTACCAATAATAGCCTTGTGTTTTGATATTAATTCTTTCCGTATCCATTCCTTAAAACGTAAAACTATCTGACTAATCATGTGAATCATTACATCTTCAATGTTTGGCCTCAGAAGAAAGTTTGGTAAGGATATAACAAAATTTTTGAATATCTCTTCTCTTTAAAGAAAATAAATACAATAAATAAATAAATAACTAAAACAATACAATGTGTGAAAATAAAATTTGTTAATTATATGTAACATTAAACATATCGGAAAAGGTGCTTTATAGAGAGTAAATAACATTTAAATCGATTACCTGTGTAGCTCATTTAAATTGCATTCCAATATAATATCACCAATAATCAGAAATAATTGCGACTGTAGTTCTTGTTTAGGTAGGCGAGAAGACGTTTCTACAATTAATTGTAAGGTGTGGCTTAAATTAATGCAGTTTGCATACCAAACTGAACTCGCTTTTAGAAATAAAGTCCTTAAAAGCTTGGTTAATAACAGTAACGCAGATGAGTCGCACCAATTTTCAATGATATCTGCAAAAGAGAAATATTAAAATTTCATACAGGAAAGATAATAGTTATGTACAAAATTCATTTACCATTTAAATAATTTATAATAGATACACAATAGTCTTTAGTAGACTTAGAAAGCTGTTTATTGTAGCTATTTATAGATGTAAACCATATATGAATCCGAGAAAGCATCAAGTTATGTTCTAAACATCCTTCGGTAAATACTATCTGAGAAAAATCTTCTTGACGTTTCCTGGATTTATTAGTGAGCTGTTTCATTATACTGTATGGAAATCTTGATAGAAAATTCTTCATAAACATATTATGAAACGAATCTTTGAACCAATATTTTATATGCTCGGCGTCGTAGTCATTGCAATCTAACATATCGATATATTCGATTATAGAGTCTAGAATTTCAATGATATTTTTCAATAATGCGGCCGCTTCGTTGGAAATTACAGTCTCTGTAAAATTTTCATTTTTTTCCTCTGGATATACTTCGAGCCATATATCAAACATCAATGGCATCAATAGATCTACATATTTTATAAATTCTTCTATCGATAAGTTTTCTTCTGCATAACTTTTTTCCGAGCTTAGGTCTTTATCAAGGTCAAGTTTACAAACTTGAGTGGACCTACCACTGTAAATGGGAACATACTTTGTATATCTCTCTGCTTTTATAATCATCGTGGAATATGATCTCAAGCGCATATTTGTACAAAGCTTTTCATAGTTTACTATAGAGATAAACACATTAGCTACACGTTTCAAAACCTTAATTCTCCATTTAATACTAGTACTTTTAGAATTTAAATTTGTTGTTAATTGTCTGCCAGGTTTAATTTCACTGTGTAATTTACATATCATGCCCAAAAAATTGAGTAAAATTTTATGACTATCCTTTGCTAATATACTGCTACAATTTTCCATGAGTATATCCAAGAAAAGTAAAGAGTCCTCTTTTATATGCAAATCAATATGCGTCATAGCACAGCTCAAGTAAGAGATCAAAATATCACGATAGGGTATCAATTGTTCGTTAGAGATAGGAGCAAGAATTAAATTCAATGCGTGTAACGAATCCCTTCGTACATCTTTATCTTTATCAAGAGATAAAGCTGCAACACCGCGTAATAAAGAATTCAATTGTGAGTGCAGAGTTTTTGGAGGGTATCGTAATAAGATGTCTTTTAGTTGCTTTAAAGTTTCTTCTCTTACTGTCGAATTATGATGTCGAAGACGCGTGAAGAGATCCTGAAAACAAATAAAAAAAAAATAACTTAGTTTATTGGTCTTATACAATTGATAAATCTGGCATATTAAGCAGATTAGATTAATATAATGTCACATATATCTTATTCATAACATCATAATATAATAATACTAGATATACATTCTCTTTAATACATACTTTAATATTGAGTTTGCGAATACTGAGAACTTCTGTTTCATCTCGATGTTGTAATTGTTCACGTATTAAAATTTTCTTTATTTTAAATGATGTATCTGTAGCATTTAAGCCCTTTGGTAACTGATTGATAGAATTTTTAGTTTTTAATTTTATTTTTGCTTTTTCTGATTTTAAACGTTTCGAACGCTTATGATTTTTAGCCATGATGATCAAACATGTGATACATATGTATCATAATATAATTATACTATATGTAAATAGCAAAATTTTAATTTTTTTTATTTTTTTGAGTTTAACGTGTCGTCAACCGGTACAGTTTGTGGTTATATTGACACACTTTAATTCTTTTAAGCAAAATTTTAATCACACATTTGAGGTTAAGGATTAACAGAAAAATAGATAGGTATAGCAGCAAAGTCCGTGGATGGATGGAGATGGCGGATGGAGGGCTCTGGGTCACAGAACCACAGATTAATAGACAGATTGCCAAAGGTCTGGATGAAGGAGAGACCAGCATTTCTCACTGATTTCAGCGCCATATCGTAGTAGTGGTCAATGCAGTAACTATTAATACGTTCCCAAGATAAGAGCGTCTCATGAACTCGTCCGGCGGCATGTACGAGATTTATCTTTTCGTAGCGTTCGCGTATTTCGGAAAGGACAGAATTTTATGATGTTAAATAAATAAATAAATAAATAAATAAATAAATAAATAAAATATTAACCTGACCTATTATAATTATTTTTTAATAAATGTTTCATTATTATTATCATCTAAGTCTAAGTCGTTTAATTAATTTTTAGTTTTTTAATAATTAATTTAATTTATTCTAATCATTTTAATATGTGAAAAATACTAATACGTATACGTTTTATAATGAATTAATATATTTCGAGAGTCGAATTATATATTTTTAATAATATAAAAGTGTTCAAAAATTATATTTGACTTTTAATTTTAATTATTTTAGCAAAGAGTTCCGAAATCTCTTACACACATAATAGGGATTTTGTTCATCCATATAATTCGCAATTAAGTATATATGTTAATTATTAATTTTAATAAAATACAAAATTAAAATTAAAGGTCAAATATAATTTTTGAACATAAATATATTTAATTCGTTATAAAACGTATACCCGTGATAGTATTTTTCTCGTACAAAAATAACTAGAACAAATTAAATTACTCATAAAAAAATAAAAAAATAATTAAATAATTTATATTATATATGATAATAATAAAACATTTTATAAAAAAAACAGATTCAATAAATATAAGTATATATATAACATGTACTTATATTTATTGAATCTGTTTTTTAATAAAATGTTTTATAAGCTTAGAAAACTTGACTTTGACGTAACTAGCAAATTTTATTTAATTATTTCACGACGGTTTGACGTAATAAAATGTTTTATTATTATTATATAAAATATAAGTTTAAATTCTTTAATTAATTTTTAATCTTTTATGATTAATTTAATTTACTCTAATTATTTTTGTACGAGAAAAATACTATCATGGGTATACGTTTTATAATTAATTTAATATATTTGTGTTTAAAAATTATATTTGACCTTTAATTTTAATTTTTATTTTATTAAAATTAATAATTAACATATATACTTAATTGCGAATTATATGGATGAAAAAAATCCCCATTATGTGTGTAAGAGATTTCGGAACTCTTTGCTATAAAATAATTAAAATTAAAAGTCAAATATAATTTTTGAACACTTTTATATTATTAAGAATATATAATTCGGTTCCCGAAATATATTAATTCATTATAAAACGTATACGTGATATTATTTTTCTCATATAAAAATGACTAGAATAAATTAAATTAATTATTAAAAAACTAAAAAGTAATTAAACGACTTAGACTTAGATGATAATAATAATGAAACATTTTATTAAAAAAAGATTCAATAACTAGTAGGTCAGGTTATAATTTTTTATTTATTTATTTATAACATTATGAGCTATTAAGCTCATCATCTCGTTCGCTCTCTGTCTTGCTTTCATTCGGCAAGTCACAAACGATATATGATACTCGTATGTTCCTACTTCAACTCTCGAGAATCTGAAACAAACGAAACTCGTGTCCAATATACAGGGTGTCCGGTAACTAACGGACCAACGATTACAAATGAACTCTTTGGTCAATTTGGGAACGATTTTTCCTCAGCGAAAATGTCGAAAAAGGTCATCATTTTTTACAACTTTCCAATCTTTGTCATTATGTATCTTTATAACTAAGCCTTAAATTAAAATTTTATTATAGTAAACTCTACCTGAAATTAACTGAAGAATGTAATTATGTTAGACTTTTAACTCCAAAACGTTTAGTTTTCAAAAAACCTATTTTTTTCAATCGCTTATAACTCGAAAATCATTGACTTCTCAACATTTTTGCTAAGGAAAAATCGTCTCCAAATTGGCCAGAGAATCCGCCCTTAATCATTGGTCCGTTAGTTACCAGACACCTTGTATATATTATATAAAAGTGTATAGCACGTCAGAAGCTTGTGAGCTTACAGCGATAAGTAAAAACAATTGCGTATTTATTTCATTGCGTTTATCTGTTTAAACGCGCGCTTTAATTTTTCCAACGTTTTTGCCTGTTTATATTTTAAAGGTCCTCTCTTCTAAAAATCTTGTTTTAAAGATCCTCTCCGCGAGCAAAATTCGAAAACATAAATTATTTAATATTTTTACTTTATTATTTGTAAATCCTCGGTAATTTCAAAATTTTTCTATTTGAAAATTATTAATTTTCTATTGCCAATTAATTTTATCACAGACTTTACTCTTACTCTCATTGCACTTTCGTTTGCGGTTTTCAGTATACGATTTTTTATCGTAGTTACTGAAAATTATTATTGTGAATTATACTTGTGCAGTGATTTGAAGAATTTACAATTTCGTTGAAATTGTTGATTTTTCAAAAAAATTACGAGATTCGCGGAAATTGCGTGCTTTCTTGGCATTTTCCGTTCGCGGCAGGCGGTTTATTTTTGATTGTTGCAAGTGTTTTTTTTTTTTTTTTTATTAAAATAGATAATAATAATGTGAAATAAATCACGATATTTGACAGATGTGCATATATATAGAAATTGTAATAATAATAATATTATATCATAAAATTGTAAATTGTTTCAATTTTTTATAGACTGCGATAAAAGATTTTACATTTGGATAAGAAACTGCGGTAAGTAAAAATATAAAATTCTTGAAAACGTACCAAAAATATTTGATAACGTAAAAAGGTGAACTTTGAAAAATAAGGAACTTAAAAATTGCACTAATAAATGGGCTATATGTGAGCCGTGCGCGGATGTAAGGTGTGTTATATCGAAATTTAATTAATAGAATTGAGAATTAATCCCAATTTTAAGTCTTACAAATGTCCAAGCTAATTTTTTGTACCTCGTGTACATTTTTGAAAGTTATATCGAAAAATTAAATTTCAATATGCGTCTTACATCTCACATTTCGCATACGGCTCACATATAGCCTATTTATCTTTTATACTTTATTTCAACCCTTATAGAAATTTATTACTAGTAACGCCAATTTATCACTTATTTCGAGTAATTAATCACTTTTATTTCGAATATTTAAATTACTGTATATTATAGTATTTTAAATACTCAAAATAAGTGATTAATTGGCGTAGTGATAAATTTCTACAAGAGAATAAGGAGCCTTTAAATTCTTAATGTAAAAAATTTCAAGTAATTTTCTTTAATAAAATTTAATTAAAAAATTTAATTAAAAAATTTTTGAACACTGTGTTATATCACATTTAAAATCGTGATTATTTCAATAAAAAAACATTTTATGTGTAAAAAATATATTTTTTATATTTAATAAATTTTATATATATATATGCATATATGTAAAATATTCTCTCTCTCTCTCTCTCTCTCTCTCACACACACACACACACACACACAACGGGGGCCAAATCTCTCAAATTGGTCTCATGATCAATTAGCCTGGATTCGCACCAGGGGCAAAGTCTGTTGGTAATGTCAAACGAATTTAGCCTGGACTTGCACCAGGGGCAAAGTCTTTTGGTCGAGTCTACGAAATTTAGCACGGACTCGAACCAGGGGCAAAGTCTTTTGGTTCAAGTCTACGAAATTTAGCACGGACTCGAACCAGGGGCAAAGTGTGTCGGTAAGGGGCAAAGTCTATCGCACGAAGATGGCGGTCTCTTTTTTAGGCAGGCCTTTGGCGATCTGTCTATTAATCTGTGACAGAACCTTGGGTAGCAGCATAGAGAAACTTGAGAGTTTGAGAGGGGTCACGCCTCACGCCGTCATTTTTCGTGAGATTGCTTTTCTAGCTGGTATGGTGGCGCTAATTGAATTCATTTTAGAGCCAGTGGAACTACGTAGCCAAAATCACTTTTCGCTGATACGGTAAAACGATTGATTGATTCATGTTCGTGCTAGATCCACGATCTACACGATAGTGAATCCATAAAAAACATAGAATTTTGGATTAATATTAATTCATATATATATAATGTTTTATTAGGTACGCATGATGTTTTTGTACCTCTGTTCCAGGTTTAATAAAATCACTATTTAAAACATAATGGAAATTGAAGAAATAAATAATAATATATGTACACAATAAAAATTCAAGAATAAAATTATGTACATAGAAATTCAGCAAATTAAAATTATTTACATAAAAGAAATATTTATGATAAAATATTTATTATAAATATTTATGAATATATATATATATATATATATTTTTTTTTTTCTCAAATATTATATAAATATTTTGAAAATGTTTTATAAAGATATTTGTTTAACATATATTATTAAAACATAGATTATATAAATATTTCCATGTAATATTTATATGGTATCTAAAGATAAATATTTATAGTGATTATTTTGTAAATATTTTTAACTAACAATAAATTGTTAATTCTTTTATTTACTACCGCTATGAGACATATATATCTTTCTCGTATTTGATTTTCGTCGTGAGAATTATATAAGGCTGGCAAAAATAGAAATTAATAAAGTTAAAAATGTCATAACATTATTTTTATTTTTGAGCTATATTCTGCAACAAAATGTCTTTTAACAAATAAATTTATGTATATATCGATTGATGTGTACATAAATTTATTTGTTAAACTATATGTATATATACTCTCTGTTGCCTAAGTGTATTTAGTGGATATTATAATTTTATATTCTTTTTTAAAATAAATGTTTAATAAGTTACTTATAAACATTTTTTGCATATTTTTACTTTTTATAAATGGCTATAATAGAGTTTGAAAAACACAAAAACATATCTTATATCGACCAAATTTTATATTAGACTATATATTAACCGATTATTTTGATTAAAAAATCATCGATTAAGTCATTTTAAATCATGATTTCTTACTGATAATGAGTATCTATTAAAAAAATATAAACTTTAAAAAATCT